TTTTTATCAGTCAGTAATGTCAATAATACTAAAGTCAATAAGCTAATAACTTCATTTTTGTATACAAAGTAGGGCTGAACAATATGGCATTTTTTAAAATATAGATCAAAAGATCGGATTGTGCACATAATCCCCCCGCTCCTCGCTTTCGCCTGCAATGCCTTGCCTAACCAATTTTTTGCAGGAAACACTGACATACAAATAATCATAATCTAAGAAATTTAGAATCCTTTTGTTCAATTCATGTTTAGTCTTTTGTTATAATTAATTAAAATCTTATATTAATGACTTGAATTACAATTAGAAAGAAGAGGAGAAACGCCGCCAGGAGGAGCGACGCAGGGCAAACGAGGAGCGGCAACTGCTGGAGAATGAAAGAAAAGACCGCGAGGCCAAAGAAGCAGCACTTCGTGAAAAGAGAGACAAAGAGAGGGCACAACAAATCGACCAACAGAAGTACAGGGCATAGTACTTCATAACATGCTTCACAAGTGTCCTGTGTTGGCGGTAGTGTAATAGTTTGTTTCCTCTTTATTTTTAATAGAAAATACCAACAGCAACTGGAAGCAGAGAGTAAAGAGCAAGAAAAGAAGCGTTATGTAAGTCTAAAAATTCCCAGTCCTCATGTTGTCACAAGTATTGGTTAGTGCAGTGCATGAAGAGCGTTTTGGTTTGTGGAATAGTTCATGTAAACATTTTAGTTAAAGAAAAGCTAACTGATGGTCATAACAGGAGGAGAAGGAACAAACAGATGCAGCCCAAAGAAAGGCAGTGAGGAGAGGGGAATCAGTGGAAAAAGCCAACGTGAGTTTCCCTTTAACAAGTGCTGACCTTTGGCTCAACTACCGTCACTTCCTCTTTCAAAGCACTGCCTCTAACCAATCTCTATTTCCTTTTCCAATTCTGCTGTAGAAATCTTTTCAATTTCTCTGTTAGTCTCAATAAAACTGTGTAATATACATCTTTTTATTTTGGCTTTTGGTTTTCAGGAGGCAGCCTCTCTGATCTCTCAGCGTGCTGTAAACCCCAGAGAGATGTTCAAACAGAGGGAGCGGGGAATCACTCCAAGTGATTCTGATGTACCCTCTCCTGCCCCTGTCAGTCCACAGCCAGGTACTGCCAGTGCATGCCCTGCTGCTATGTCTTCGCTTTTGTTGATTTCTTAAGCCTTTTAACTCACTGGCTCATCACCAACTCTTTTCCATACTGTCGTTTTAAATGTGTCCTGTTTCATCCGTCCTGCATGCTTCCTGGGGTCTGTGTGTCTTTAACAGGGCGTCTGCAAAGCCCTTTTTTGTCTAAACCAGTCTATGAGCCTGAGTCGCCCCACTCACCTCCGCGCCAAGCTTCCCCTGTACCAGCAAGCTCCGCTTCTCCTGTCCGGGCTACAGGTGTGAGCACACACACTCTTGTCAACATGTCCAGTGTTATTTAGGGCTGCACAACACGTTCCAAATGAGTTGTTAATGTGTGTAATGTGTGTAATTAATGTGTGTAATTAATAATATTATATAATTAATAATGAATACAATTATACATTATTATATATTTTACAACTCTTTAGTTGTGCAGTCATAAATCTACATAGAAAAACTCATTTTGTTTGTCACTGTCATTGTCACTCCTGTTAGTAATTCTTCCATTCAGTGTGTCCTCATTATTTTCCTATATAAAAGTGCAGTGGTGGTAGAGTTTACCTGTGTGGGCTTGTGGGTGTTTTGCCATGTATATGCATGTCTGTGCTTGTGTTTTGGGTGATAAGAGCCTGAAGTGGGTGATGGACAGTCCAGGTGTGAGTATGAGGAGCAGAAGGAGGAGCCCCAGGAGCAGCCGAAAGGTGGGGTCTACTCAAACTGTGAAATCGCCCTTAAGGCTCATACATTTTTCAGTATTTAAGAACTAACCTAAGACTCACTTATAAGCAGCATATTATGTTTTTACATGTACAAGCATGCACTGATAAGTTATTGCAATATTTCCTTCAATAATATTGATAGAAGTGCTACAGCTGTTTTTTGTTTTGAAGTTCCCCAAGATCATCCATTTGTTTTCACCAAAAGTTTATGCTTAGCTCCAGCTGCTACAACTGAAGTGCCATCTTCAGATCACAATTTTGACATCTAAATATTGACATTAAACATTCTCTGTATTTTTTCTTATAGAAGAGCCTGTAGCTGTTAATTCATATGTCCAAGAGAAGGCCTATGAGGAGCCAGCTCAGGTTATTGCTTCTCTGTGTTTATATATGTATATATGTAAAGCCTCCTAATAATAGTTATAGGCCATAAAACTAAACATCACTGTGTTTTTTTCATTGTCCCGCAGGAGGAGAACAACTTGTATGAGGTGACTCCTGAAGAGACTCCTGAAGAGACTCCTGAAGAGACTCCTGAAGAGACATCAGATAGAGGCATTTGTGCAAAAGCCCTGTATGATTATCAGGCTGGTAAGTTCTACAATGCAATGGCAACAGAAACAATATTACATATTTATTTATAGTAATCTTTGTTAATAACAATGTGAGAAAGTAGTGTTCATAAATATTGTATTGCAATAAATGTTGTTAATGAAATGACATTATTTTAACTTTATCAATCATTTTCTTTATTTACAGCTGATGATACAGAGATTTCGTTTGACCCGGATGAGATTATCACAGGCATTGAGATGATCGACGAGGGCTGGTGGAGAGGCTTTGGTCCAGACGGTCACTTTGGCATGTTCCCAGCTAATTATGTGGAGCTTATCTAGTCCCTGAACTGCCAGGACCCCTTCACCTCCAAACGTCAACAAGGACAGACCTACAGTGAACCACCAGCCTGCAGAGCCAGTCCTTGTGATGAAATGAGCTTATTTTAAAAAAGAAAAAATGGACCAGTGATAAATAAATATATGGTTATTGTGGGCCATCGGGTTTGCACAAAATTTAAGTAATAATTTTCATTATGTTGAGTTGGTGGTGTAGATGGTGTAGTTAGGGAATTGTGAATGACCAAAACTCCTTCCACCTCCCTAAAGAAATCTAAATGTGATGCAGTATCCGCCTACATTATCGCACATTCCTTAAAACGTATGTTTGCATATATTTTTTATCGCTTGTAGCATTTGTTCCTTTTCATTTCAGGAAAACAAATATCAAAGATAGTGGTACCAGCTGCAGTACAATCTTTTGCCTTGTTTTTTGCCTTTTAGTTACCGGAAGACTGAATTTTCTTTGTCTGTGATTGAACCTGAATCCTGTGTGAATTTCAAACCATGTAGATAAAGCAAGTATTTACTAAAATGATAAAGCATTTGAGGATTTGCTCTGCACTGAATGGTTGATTTCGCCTTTTACTGTGACTATAACTGGTTTGCTATATATACCAAATCATTTCAGCCTATTTAACATTTCAGGAACAATATGTTTTAATCTCGCTGGTCTGAGGTTGAGTTTCTGGTGCCATACAGAGGGGTAGACAATGCAAGAAACCGCTATGTATTAGTTTTATTGAATTATTTGAAAAGTGTAACAGCAGCGGTTATGCAAAACATTTTTCTTGATGGAAAAAATACATCATGAATAAATTAAAAGGGCATCATGTATTTCTGCATTATCATGTTGTTTTCAGATTGTAAGCACCTACATTTCTTCATAATAAAATTAGCTAAGAAACTTGGTTGTCTCGGGGGGTTTTAATTCTATATGAACTATGTGCATTACGATACGTTTCTTGGAATGAGTACAGAGCAGGGGATTTCATGAAGCAGTTTTTTTTTTGTTTTTGTTTTTTTTGCAAATTAGTACTTGAAGGAAACTTAATATAAAATCATGGGAATTATTAACTGTTGAGTATAACTGAAACTGTATTGTACTTAGTATTGCCTGTTAATCTTTAGTCTCAATATTTTCTCATAAAACAGACTGCACTCAATTCAACCTCACATGTTTATGTCAGTGAAAGTGCGAAATGAATAGCTGGGGACTTTCTGAATCTTACTCTTTTTGATCTGAACCTCAAATTTCAGTGGAATCATTCCACTCATTACAGCCACCTACTTTGTTATTATCTTGCATACATCAAATAATATGTGAGACTATGTAAGTTTGGTAAATTTCTGTTTTTCTGACCTTTAAATCAGAATTATTTAACAAATGTCATTGTACACATAGAGGATTTTCAGTTTACACATGAACCAACATTATGTCCACGGACAAATGTCTGATTATCATTATCTCACCAAAGAAGAAAAAACACACAAAAAAATAAGCAGCTAGAATTGTAATAAAATATTTGTGCATGATTGATGAGGGCAAAACGGTAATAATTATGTGTTAATGGTAATATGTGGATCTTGAAGGGGGTTTCCAGTGTGCAAGTGGTCAGTATTCAAAGAAGAAACTAAGACAAACCAATGCAGATGGGTACTGAAGGACGAGGCAGTTTGTTGTGGGAATGCATATCAGGCAGGTGTAGAAATTCAAAACATGGCCAATATTTGTCCATAGGTGAAATGACTGACCACCAATAATAGGAATATCTTCAGACTCCACCCTCTGACTCATGTAACGGAAAGAAACTAAACAGCTGAGCTGTTTTCTCTGTAAATTTAGGAGAATCAGTTGCTTCCTCATTGTCTTGGATTTAATTTTGACCTCAGAAAAGGATGATCTTTGAAGATGTGAAGCTTTACCACAACACTTCCCTAAATATAATTCTGACAGAAATTAATTTTGAACAAGATATTCAAACATTTTATATATTTTACGTTAGCATATTTGGAAAATTATAGTGTCACCATCATTAACACTATTTTCATGTGATTTGATGCTTTTCTCACTTCCCCAAATAAAACTATTAAGATATAACATAAAAAAAACAAAATAAAAAAAAAAAACACACAAATTGATAACAAAGACTATAAGTGATGTAACTGTATCAGATCTGTCCATAAAAAAACATTATTTGTCTTCCATCAAATGAATATTCTATTAAGCGATCATGTGTTGATATAACAATGCAAAGCTCAGCCTCCCAGACTAGTTTGTGTGGTGTAACCAATGAAACATTTGTGGAGACAGCTTCCTGTTTGGTGGTGTCAGTCTGAAGAGGACACTCAATGAAAAGCTCCCACAGACAAGACGCTAGAGGACAACCAAAGACAGATGGGTAAGAATACTTTTATAGTTTTACATTTAAATGTACTTAGTTTTTTATCAGTTGAACAAAAATTTATGTATATGTATATAAGTATATGTGGGTGTGTGTGTGTGTGTATATATATATATATATATATATATATATATATATATATATATCGACTATCTACTCTAAAGTGTAATGTACACTAAACCTTATAATTATTTTTATTTATAGTTAAATATAGATTTATTAGGTCTAAGACTGTATTGCAATAACTCATTTGTGATAAGTGTTATATACATTTCAATAACAATACAATATTTAAATGTATGACAACAATATGGGTAGAAAGCAGAAATGAAAAACAGAAGTATACTGAGTTTTTATGCCAGTAAGGTCATTTAGGTGAAGGCCAAAAGAGGCAAAAGAAACACGTTTTCAAATATTACCCATAACACCAACATTTTGTGAATTTGAACAATATGTTTCAGAACCTAAACTATTTTTTTTTTGTATTAAAAAAAAGAAAATCAATGTTAATAATTAAACATATTATGTAATAAGTAATTCATACTATCATTGGTGTGTATTATAATATGACACCATTGAAGCCCTTGTGTTCATGAGCAGGATGTGGTTTGCACTTGTGGTGTGATATCAGACAGTTTACATTATGCTCAGCTAAATTCCCCAAATTTCATTATAATTGGATAAAATAACACAGAAAACCCCAAATTAGAAAACCATACTTACAATACTTTTTGGTTGGAACTGGAATACAAAATATTTGTATAATAGATTTTTTAAAAACTTTTTTTCAAAGCTGAAGAGGAGGCAACTGAGACACAACAGAGATCAGATGACAAGGAAGGGTCCGTTTGCCAGGTAATGCAAACACTGCTGAGAAACTGTTAATTTCTAGCAACAGTTACAGTTATTGGTATGACTCTTCTAAGTGTTGACTTTCACTTCCCCTTTTTATGGAGTTTAAACAAAATGCTGATTCCTAATACAGTGTCTGTCTTTGAGAGTAAGAAAAAGTGTCTTGAATTCAAAGAAGAAAGTGCAGGTGTTTCTCAGTGGTATGATATTAGGCGCTGTTCTGGTAAAAGGTACAATATGAAAAACACAATTTAGCTCATCAAATTTCCAGTGCTGATGTAAAATGAAAGCTTGGTGGTTTGTGTGGTGAATGAAGCTCTCGATAGCATCAGGCCAATAGATTACGGACATTCAAAGTGAGACTCATATCCAGACACTGACATCAAAGTCACCCACGTGGCCTTCCAGATATTTCTCATCAAATGGAAAAGTAATATTGCATCTAGATTGTACAATCAAATGGGCTTTGTGTGGGAAAATATAACTGGAGACAAACAATGAAACAAAGGTAACATTAAAAAAACAGGAGTGTCAGATTGGGGATATAAACTTTACCCAGGGCCCTATGAGGGAAAGAGGCAGTCACAAATCTGTAATGTACAATTTTCATTTACAGAATATGGAAAGAGGGTCCACCAAAATACAGACCCCTGTTAAAAACATTAAAAATAGTGTTTGTCTGTGTGAATTAGGGTATTCCCACTGATATATATTATATTCCATTATCTCTTCAAAGAGGCTAAATGTACATAAAATATCAAAGCAATGAGTTTACTGTTCAAAATTAATTTGGGTTTCTTTTCTCACAAACACACTTCAGTATTTCATCTGCCCACTAAATTAGCATGGATGAATATGCCTTTTCACTGTCTCTGATTTTCAGTGAGGGCCCTGTACCTTCACTATTACTCATTGTTGAGGCTTCACTTCTTGGAACCAGGAACCACATAGAGGAACCAAATTCAATATGAAACCACGCTGTTTAAAAGCCTAACACATGCAACAATAAATAAAATAAAACAACTGTCCTACTAGCTCTAATGTAATCTCATGATAAACCAAATTTCCTGAAATTTACTTCACAGATTTCACTATGTTGGCCCTAACGTTGCGAAAGCACAAAAAGAGTTTATGAGTTTATGTATAGCCTGAGCACATGTTTTTTTCCACTTGGTTTGCAGATGGGAAACACACTGCCTCTAAACAAGGTGCTTCATTTGTTTCACCTCGTCATAGCTAACGTCTAAACGTTTCTATAAAGTGTAGTTTTGCTGAATCTTTAACTGTGCAACTGAATCTATGAGATACAGTATGTTGAAGACAGTGACTTATTGAGTTGAACACAACACCTGCCTTTGACACTTGTGATACCTGTGACAGTCAGATCAAGACCAAAAACCCACAACTGTGATGCTTTCCCTGCAGACAGGATGCACAGTGGTTATCTATTGAAAGTAGTGGTGAAGCTTTTGCCTCTATTTTGTTTCATTTCAACTTTTTCTGTCCCATGAGATTTCCTTTAACGTATATTAAACTCTTAAACAAACAATAATATTTCGTGCATAATCTTTTGCAGACCCCCATCTCTGTGATCGAGATCCCTGACTCATCAAATGATTATGATGAAGAGACCAGACCAAGTGCTCAAATGGAGGAGAAGTCCTTTATCTCTGGACTACACTCCTATATGAGGGTCAGAGGAACGCCCATAGAGAGGATTCCACATTTGGGCTTTAAACAAAGTTAGTTGATTTTTTAAAATATTTTTTTTATTTATAATGTACTTTTAAATATGTAGATTCTTCCTGTTTATCCTACTCCCAGTTAACCTTTGGATGATCTATAAAGCTGTAGAGAAACTTGGGGGTTATGATTCAGTAAGTACAACTTACATCATCCATTTGACTGTAACATAAGGACAGTGTAATGCACAGTTTTTTACAGCACAGTTTTGTAGCATCTTTCATTATATTCCTAAATGTTTTATTACAGGTAACGACAAAACGTCTTTGGAAGAGAGTATACGATGAGCTGGGTGGAAGTCCAGGCAGCACCAGTGCAGCTACCTGCACCCGCAAACATTATGAAAGGTTTGGAGTGGACCGTTCTGCCTGTGCACTTTGTCATTATCAGTGTCTCAGAAATGTTAACAGTATGATTGTATTGTGGATCAGACTGGTCCTACCCTATGAGAGACACCTCAAAGGAGAGGAGGACAAACCTCTGCCTCCCACCAAGCCACGAAAACCTTACAAGAGGAACGCAGATGGCAAAATGGACAAAGCTGAGGGGAAAAAGAAAAGAATTCACTTAGACAGAGACATGGACTCTCAGGTAATTATGCTTGTTTAAAAGATGTGAAAACTAAAAGTAGTTCTCATTAACAAATCTTTATTGCTTTGCAGCTGAGAATACAGAGAAATGATCTAGTGCTGCACCCTCACCCCTCCATGAGAACAATTCCCTCTGACAAAGTAGACCGCTCCAAGCCAAGCTCTGATCTGAGTATATACGACCTGGCTCATTTCCTACCAATGCCCTCAACATGTACCTGGACACCTCCTGTCCCTCCCGCAGCAGGAGCAGGGATCTCCCCTCTGGAGAAGAAGAAACGAATGGCTCAGGCCAGTCTCCGCCTGAGACAACAGGGCGAGGAGAGCCAGCGGCCATCTGTCATCCTCTGCTCCTCTCCAGGACCAGCCTCTTCAGCAAGGGCCTCTTCTGATGGCTCTCCACAGCCTCAGTCCTCCTCCTCCTCACGCAGCCCTTCTCCTCTGTCAGTTTCTTCAGAAGAGAGTCACGTAGAAAACAAAGACAAGGCTATCAGGCATCAGGACAAATCATCACCATGTTTAGACTTACAACTAAACCACTCAAAAGTAAAAAGTGTATGTACAGATGACAGGGAGAGCCTCAAATCCAAGGAAATAACTTCTGATAAAACAGAGAGTAACTCACAACCAGTGACCAAACATTTTGCTAATGAAAGAATTACAAACTGGATGCCAGTTTACAAAGGAACACATTTCACACCTTCTTTCCACTCATCATCCTTCCATGCTAAATATGATTTGGCTGCTGCATCTAGCTCCAGTTTCACCAAAGTTGTCCCAAAAACTGTACAGCTCCTGAGACCTGCTCCGATTCGCCTTGGCTATAAAATTCACCAAACACGGCAGGTTCCAGATGACTCAGCGACAAAGAAACTCAACAGCACATCTCAGAGGACTAATCAGACTGAAAAATGGGAAAACTCTCAATCAAGGTTGTGCAAGGCTCCACTATCTCAGCATAGTTTTGTGCATAATTTGCCTACAGCGTGTGTTGTGTCCAGTTACAACAAATCTGGACGGGGCTCTCGGCCTCACATGTCATTTCATCCCACATTTCTTCCAAACAGAATGAGACCACCACATCAGCTAATGTATCGACAGGTACCAGTAAATCCAGGACATCCTGCTTTCATTGGGCCTGTGGCTTATCCATTTTCCTATTCCATGTCTCACCCTGGATATACTCTACCTAATGTGATGCCTATTTATCAACATAAACTTTGATTAAAAAAAAAATCTTTTACTCCTAACAACATTCCCCATCTGTCTCCCCATCATAAAACATAAAATATGTTGGAGGGAAGTGAAATTTATGTGGCGTTGACCTGAGAAAAAATATGTGAAGTGAAACAGCTTGATAGTGTGATAATATTGACAATCTCAGCAAATTTAACTGTTTGTATTTAAATAAACCTGGGGTCATGATACAGCTACTTATAATTATAAATATATATAACTATATAGGTGTATGTGTTTTTTTGTTTGTTTTTATTTTTAATGCCTTGCACATTTGTACCATTTTGCATGTACTGTATTTTGATGACTACAATAAAGATAGATGTGTAATATATTCATTGTTAAATATTTCTGTGTAATTGACGGTAACTGAATGTAAACAAAATAAGAAAAATGTACCCCACTTTTCCACTTTTCATTGAACGGGAAAACAAAAGTTCAAGAAATATTTTTGTCTTTCATATTCCACTTTTTTTTTTTTTTTGTGCTAAAGTCATTAAATAGTATAAACATAATTATGACATGACATGAAAATGTTCATTTATTTCAAAACTTTTACCCGCGTTTAATGCCTTACAGACTTGACGCTGGGTTAAAAACAAAAAAAACAAAAAAAAAAAACTCGCATGTTCTGTCGCGAGATTTGGTATCTGGCGCGAATTAAGGAGGAATTGTAAACACGGCGTATATAGGCTGTCGTTGATCAATCAGGCACTGAAACGCTTACATTTTATAATCTTTGTCCGAGTTTTTCGAAACTTACTTTGTCCGATAATATTTTGGGTTCGGAAAATATGTCGGACGGTTTGCTTGAAGACGGCAGCGACATCAACCAAGAAGATGACAGTCATGAGGATGTTATGACTCCCGCGGAGCTGATCGCAAAACTAGAAGAAGTTAGAGTACATTGATTATTCTGCAATGGTATGCACTAACAAGAATGACACTTGTTACTCTTATTTTGTGTTGTCCAAGGCTTGGCTCAATGAGAAGTTTTCCCCGGAGCTCCTGGAGAACAAGTCCGAAGTGGTTGAGTGTGTGATGGAGCAGCTTACTCACATGGTAAAATGCATATACTGCTCTTTTAAACCGTAAACAACAATTTCTCTGATGAATACTCGTCCAGTTAGAAATCAGCTGCAATCACTCTTTATATTACTGACATTAGGTAGTCAATATAAAATACCGGTTCAGAAAGTTAAAACCATGCTTTGGTACATGCATCATAGAGACAGATATGTTTTACTGTTGAATATTGATTTTATTTGGCCCTTATCCAGAAAAAAATAAGATTTAGGTTTACTGTTATGCAAGCCTGCTCAGTGTAAGGACACATGTTTTTCAGTGCAATAAAAAAAATTGTCAACAGAAATCATTTTTGGGAAAAAAGTTCTGTGGCTTTAACATTTTCCCAACAGGAAGCTAACTTGCAGCGTGTGAAAAAAGGAGACGCCAAAGCCAGCATCCACCGCATGGAGATTGATAGGATTCGTTATGTACTCAGCAGCTACTTGCGTTCTCGTTTGCAGAAGGTATAAATATGCAACTCTCTTTTTTTTTTCCCCTTTTTTAAAATTTCAACATAACTTTGAATTTCTTTCTAGATTGAAAAGTACTTTCCACACGTCCTGGAGAAAGAAAAGTCTCGAGAAATGGGTGACTCATCATTGCTCTCACCGGAAGAGTTTGCCTTTGCCAAAGAGTAAGCCAAGTAGTAAAATTATTTTTTAAATATTAGTGTGTATATGTTCTCATATACATTTTGTATTGTTTTTCTAGATACTATGCAAATACAGAGACATATCTGAAAGCAGTGGCATTAAAGCGTATGCCTCCTAATCTGCAGACAATAGACATGCTTAAAGCAGGTAATATCTATTGAGGTTTTATTGTTGAGAAATTGAGTATCAATATGACATATGCAGTATTTCTTAACTTTCAGTCCCCGAGCCTTGTTTGGACTCCTTTGTGTTTTTGAGAGTAAAAGAGAGACAAGAAAACATCTTGGTGGAACCTGAAACCGATGACCAGAGGTGAGTTAGATGTGTTGTTTCTGTCAATAGCCAGTAGATGTCAGACTTATTGTAGAAATCTGTACATTTGGTTAGATGACACCTAATATTTACACACTGTATTAAAATCAACCAGAGAGTATGTTGTGGATCTTGAAGAGGGCTCTCAACATCTAATGCGATACCGAACCATAGCACCACTCGTCTCAACTGGAGCTGTGCAGTTAATTTAGCTGCAGGTGTAAGTAACTGTCTGCTTGACCCGCTCATATTGCTCTGATAAGTCATGCCTTATGCATCTTGTAATTTGTTTCCTCACATCTTGCATAACCACTTTATACTGGCTACAACATTTATTTTTAGCTTTTTTGTTCTGCATGTATTCTCTGCTGACAAATAATGAACTACAACAACATGACTGAACTGTCTTTTGTTTCAGTTTACACTAATATTTTTTTCCTAATTATATCCATTACAGGTTCATGGTTTTGAATTCCATGAGATAGGAAAAGTCATCTATTTCTGAACCATCAGTCATAATGAAGAAGGACATGTCCCGTCACAGCTGACAGGATTATGTGCCACTGTGTGACAGCTGTGATGACGCGTGCAAAATGGCAACTACTCTTAAAATGATGATAAAGTTATGCAATTTATGCTGATGAGCTGTGTATTCAGCCTTCTTTACTGTGTCCCTAACTGGATGACTGAGCACTTGGCAACACTGGACTCAAGAATATGTGCACGTGAGGATGTGCATTTACTTATTTTGTGCTAAATAACAATTGTATTTTCTTTTTAAATGTACATTTTTCACACTGTTTGTAATTATTATTCACATTTGTCAGTTTGATGTAGTTTCTAAGGCAACATCTCTCAGCCATAATTGTTCGTAACGGCAGTATTATATAAGAATTTTAAAGTGAATAATAGTTCTTGCCTGTTTTTGTCAGTCTCACATTGACACATTAATTTGGAAATAATATGGCCTGAATCCCTAACCCTTGTTATTGTGGCAGCTAAACTGTAGCTAACATACATTATTACATTATAAGTAGCACTGTGCAGACAAAAGCACTTCCATAACAACTAGTAGAATTGGGCATAATGTTACCAGTTGCAGGCACACTTAACTGCCAGTGTACTAAGATTTGACATCAGTACTCAAAACGTCATCTGTTGTTGCATGCAGTTGTATTATCTAGACCAGACCTTGGCATTGTACAGCTCTCAGGCCACATACGCACTTTGACGCTGACCTTTCCATGTAGGCTAATTTGGAATTACAAAATAAACATATTTTATAGTTTTACCTCATGCATGGACTAAAGCTACCTTGCTTTTATTTTAGAGGTGTTTTTTAATGGCATTTTTTGTAAGTAACCTCACTTTATCATTGGTTAGACATAATATAAACTCTTACCTATCTTACCAGCTCAAACAATCCTATTTTCTGTTTTTTATAAAGAAATGCAATTAATATTATGCAGAATTGAGTTAAGCATTTTGGCCCGGCCCTCCACAATATTTTCCTTTTTCTCATGTGACCCCATAGAATAAATAATTGCCCACCCCTGATCTAGATTATTAAAGATGCCCATAAACCTAAACCACTATCTGCCATCTTCTGTTTATATTATTTTCAAGCCTGGGCATGTGTGACAAGAAAAATAAGACACATAGTTTCATTACAACATTAAGTAATTTTATTTTGCACCACCAAGTATGTATAATTTTTTGTGTGTGTGTGTTGGCACATGTTGGAAGGTTGTGCGTATCTTTTTTATTTAGAGTAGAGTTTTATTTACTCCTATTCATTTATGTCAACTGTAACATAGTAACCTTTGAGTGTGAATAGCACTCACTACTGGTGAAGCTGCCAGGAGTTGTATGTAATCCTGCACGTACCAGCGTCACATGCCATCAGCCTGATCCCTAAAGACACCAGCCAACCAGTTCAAAGTTCTCCGTGATCAGGAATGTTTAAATAGTTTCCATAATATACTTGATATAGATATTCCTGACATTGTTATAACAGTGTTTATAAATAGAATATAAATAATACAGTTCTGCGTATTTATGCAGTTGATTGGTTGAAGGATTGAGAGGGTGGGGTATACAATGTGACATCTGAACTGAGGTAGTATAAATAGGATATTGTGCTACATTTTCCTGGCTAGGAGATGGAATAACTGGAACCACTAGAAACACTGCTGTTGTAGGTGAAACAAAATAATCTACTTTACAACAAAAATGTACACCAAATTATACAAAAAATAAGTTTCAGTTTATGCTTTTCTGTATGCAGAGATCTGACGATTTGAATCCAGTGCTGCAAAATCAGTACAGCAAAATGGAAGTAGCCGACTCAAGGTAAAAGCGACTGTTAAACATAAGTTTCATTGTCTTACAGTACTGTGCAAAGGTTTCTATCAGCGTAGATTAAAGAGTCTGAGCTAGAAAATGTTTTGTTTAAATTTAGGCTTGTGCTATAGTCTTTGTATGGTGACATCTTTCAGTGTTGAAAAAAACATTTTCTGTCTTGTTCTGAGCACCATCAATACTAGAAAGTATATTATTGTATTTGTCTTCTTATGTGCATGCTCCATACCACAAGACAGCTCCCCCTGTATTTTGAAGTAATTTGTGTCCTAACAGTCTTTATTTTTATGTGTTGCAGTGTCCTCCCAGTAGTGGGTATTGGCTCTATGGCGCACTCTGCTGGACTGTTGGAGATTGCAGTTCGGCTCTGCCTAAACCAGAGTAAACAGCTTTGTCCTCATGTCTGGGTTCCCATCCTGAAGCCGTTGCGCCCCTGCATTCGAGCTCAAATTCCCCCTGAGACTTTCAGCCACTCATTTTTGTCCTTTTGGGATGAGTTTGACGATGAACGATGTTGAAGTAATTCCACTCAAGAACAAGCATGTCATGTTTGCAGACTCTAAGGGTTTGTCTTTGACTGATGTCCGGATGTTCTCTGATAGAGAAGAGCCTTCAGATTTAGCCATACTGCCATCTTTTCAAGGTTTAAACCTAACAGGGGACAGCTACAGCTGCACAGTCAGCACTTGTTGCCCTGGCACACAACTCAAATTGGGGTTTCCTCAGCCCTCTGTGGACTTCCAGTTGTTTCGTGCCAAACTGGAAAAAAGTATGGTCATCCTGGAAAACTGCAGTGTCACTGAACAGGCTCTGCATGGGACTCTTCGGGTTAAAAACATTTGCTTTCATAAAGATGTGCATGTACGCATCACTTTTGACTCCTGGTACAGTTTTAGGGATGTCCCATGTGTATATTTGCCAAAACGATTTGGTGGGCCACAGACTGACATCTTTAAATTTGAAGTCCCAATTCCCAAAGTACTTGATGCAAAGAGGAAGATAGAGTTTTGTTTAAAATATTTACCAGGGGGCCATAGTGAGTCTTTCTGGGACAATAATAATGGACAGAATTACAGCATTCTTATATGTGTAAATTCACACCTCTGTCAGGGAATGTATCCAAAGTAAATGGCATGAAATTGTTATTCTCCATTTACAGCAATATTCCTTAATAGTTTAATTGTCTAATAAATCATCATCATCTTGTGTCCGCTTTGGTCAATTGTAAACTGTTGACAAAAGGCATGTGTGGCCTTGTTCAGAACAGAGGAGAGGTATTTCAGTCTGACCTTATGGAATGGGCAGGTGAGGTGTGAGGGGAGCAACAGTTTCTCACAGCATATGAACCTAATCATAGTTAAATAGCCGACTCACTGTGTATGACAGAAGGCCCATAGTAGACAACTGCAATTAGACATCTGAGTGGTTGTTGCCTGATAGCAAGTAGAATTTCATTTGGAAATTGTAAAGTTGAAGCTCAAAAAGAGGATTAGGACTGCAGATGGACCTTTATACCAGACTTGACCCAGTGTTTTCAAATTTCTCATTGTGACATTCTTGAAGAAAGGGAGAAGCTATATCGGACCACAATGCATGATCATTATACAGTATGTCAACTCAACATATTCACCCACGATTTGGACCAACATTGTCAAATTCTGAAGGCTGATAATATATTAAATCTGAGTGCAATGCCATTGCTCAGTGAATCAACGTCCCACACTAATGTTGCACACTTTGCAGCTGGGGTCCTTCTTGGCATTGGCTGTGGTCAGACTCATGAGCTGGTGACCGCTGATCTGCTCCACTGTCCCCTGGTCCAAATGCACTGGTTCAGTAAAAATCACCTCAAGGATAACGTCACTGGAATGGCAGTACAGAGGCTCCTCTCCTGGCCTCTGGGGGGCAATATACATCAGGAACGGGTTGGAGGCCAAGTCCAACATGGGGAGCCGGGTTCGACAAAAGTTATCCCCCTCTGAGCCAACAGGAGTCAGTACCAGCACGACATAGTGGTAAGCTGTGTACATACAGTAAAAGTCTGCAAAATATAGACTTATGTTGTGATTAAGCAGGTGTCCAGCAGGGATCTGGAAGCGCAGTGGTCCGTAAGGGGAGTCTTTAGGGGGGAGACCAGTGTCAAACTCAGTATTGCAGCTAAAAAAGACCCCAGGTAATTTCCCATTGACAGGAGAGCCATGACTTCCACTGTTGTCTTTAAGAGCAGGGTGCATCCATCCACCACACTCCTTTCTGGAAAAATCCCATTATTATATTAGCAAGGTGCAGAGATATAATTTATAACTATAAGTTGATTTGCGTGACCAAAATCAGATGGTTTAATGGTTCAGTTATAGCTGTATTACAAGATATATGTGAAGATGTGTGGAGCTATAAATATAAAGTGCTGACCTGACATGGTTGAAATACTCTGGGTGCTGATTACGGTAAAACACAGAGAATTTAAGCAGTCTCCCAGCTGAGCCTTTTGCCTTATCCTGCAGCTGCTGCAGGTGGTCGATGGCATAGTCTGCAAAAATAAGTAAAGAGTCATGAATTTTCCTACTATTACTCCAACTATTATTATTACAACCACTGCAATGTAATACTAATACACAGTGGTATAAGTACTCAATTTTGTTACTTAGGTAGAAGTAATAGGTAGAAGTATAGAAAACAAAGCAAAAATAAAGAAAAAAATTAAGTAAAAGTAAAGGTATCACATGAAAAATGCTACTTAAGTAAAAGTATTAAAGTACCTGTTTTAAAATGTAATGTATTTAATGTAATTTTATGTAATTTAATGTATTTACTAATATAAGAGTAAAAAGTAAAAGTATTTTGTGCTGTAATAAAGTTTAAAATGTAGTGATTTGATTAAGATTTCGGATGAACATTGTTCAACAGAAACAATATTTTTTCCAACCGTTTTGTTTGTATATTTTTATTTGCCCAAACTACAAATCTATCATAAAAAATACTATTACTTTTCAGTCCTGTTCAAAAATGTAGTGGAGTAGAAAGTATAGATGTAATGAATTAGAAGTAAAAAGTATCCACTTTTAAATCTACTTACATGAAGTACAGATACCTACAATGTATACTTAAGTACTGTATTTTTACCGCTGCTACTACATGATGGGTGCTTTTTAATGTGGCTTACCTCCAGTGCAGAACTCGACCACCTGACTCCACTCAGAGACCAGATAATCCCCATCTGCTTGTCGGACTGCAGTCTGCACAGCAACACAGTAGTCCGTACGAGGGCTGAGGAACCAGTGCCCCCTGACTGCCATAGGGAGTGGGACAGCCTTGGCTACAAGCTTAGTCGGTACATCCTGGACACAAACAAAGGACGGCTGGTGTCACTTTCAGAGAAGAAGAAAGAATTGTCTGGGTAAAAATCATGTCAGAACAAATAAGCTACAGTGAAATAGTTTTAGATGCTGTTATGCACATCTGTTCATGAATTCTATTTATTTACATACAACATTGCTGTGGCTTCAGGTAAGAATTTGATGTAAAAGACACACTTATTGTGATCGTGTGGCAAAAGTGTAGGTCATTTCTAGCTGCCCTTTAAGAAAACTATATTGCGCAATAGAGCTAATTGTTTATCATGTGTCCCCAAAACAAATGTGATCCCTTGCCTAATTTTATGCCCCTATGTCACTATATTCCCATCCAGCTGTTGCCAGGATACTCTCATTCATATCAGTGGCTTTGTTTTGGTCTTAGCCTTTAAGGAGCATGTTTAATTACGTAAAGCTCAGAGGCCCATATCCATGGTGACTTTGCTGATGTAAGTGTGTTTGGGCCCCTTAGAGAGAGCATATCCTGTATCAGAGGAGAACAGCCTCCTCACTCATGACGTGGCTTCCCAAATTAACCTTGTTTGAATTTATGGCAATGAATTGCTAATTACTGCAAGGAGTGTGCCTTTGAATACTGGCAAGGGAAATGAAACTGAATGAACACTGCAGGTGCTGATAAAAAGGGGGAAAAAAAACCCTGAAAATAACCAATAGCAAAAGTTAGCAACATTTTTCGGCAGTATTTTGATTAATCGCATGGTACTACTAGTATATGGTAGGTTCTTTATTTTGTTTTATACAATATATTCTTACATTTGACATTTTGTATTATTTGGTGAATATATTATTTATTTTCAGTAGTGGAATGAAACAAACTACAGAAGTAAAAGTACAATATTTTAGAAACATTTTTAGATATCTGTACTTCCAGTGAATATGTTTTACTTTCACTTGACTACATTTGAGAGTAGTTATCTATACTTTCTACTCCACTACATTTCAGATCTGGACTGAAAAGTAAAAAGTACTTTTATTTATGGTTCAAGACTTGTTTAAATGACAGAAGACTTTTTAGCAGTTTTAATTTGAGTTAATAAGCCAACTTTGAGGCAATCAAATCCCTTCAAATCTGCTAAATTCATTTACAAAATCACTACATTTGATACTTTAATTGATGAACAAAAATCTTTGTGCATTTCATTTCAACTCAACATTTCAGATCATCTGGTACTTTAATTGTTTTACTTAGAATAGATTTTTTTTCATGCACTACTTCTTTTCTTTTTTTCTTTTGCCTCTGTATCTGTACTTTTACTCAATTAACAAAATTGAATACTTAGTCTAGCACTGTTTATTTTAGAACTTGTATGTTCCAATAGGGGCTGTGTTGTGATTTTGTCCACTTGAAAACATATCTAAGTGAGTCACTGGCCTGAAGCTCTTGCCTGCATTTGTTTTCCACTTTTAGACCAAACTAAAAGTGACTGAAAGGGCACAACCACCATTCACCGTGCCATGGCATCAAGAAGCAATAAGGTCTAATATGACCTATGGGTTACTCTCACTAAACCCTGTTAAAATTAAGATGTCATTACTCATTACTCAAGCGGCCCATAATTCTAACACTGTCCATATCAGTCTGTAGAAAAACCTGGTAGGGATACAGAGGAACACTGTGCAGTTCTTTGGCTTTTATCAATGATCTGCTGTTGCGTTTAATAAATAATGTACACTGTTCTTCAAAGGCCATATTAATTCATGCAGAGAGCTTAAGAAGTTGATGCATATACAGTTTATTATATCACTGATACCTCCAACCGTAATTTGTATTATGAAGAGAAAAGGTAGAGCGCTTCACTGGGTCATAAAAAAGTTTCAAAATAACTGCACAGGTGCTCTACGAGGGTTAAGTTTAAATCTTAGCAGAAGGTACCTTACTGGAAAATGTAAAAATGGGCAAGGTAGAAACCTGAGGCACACGAACTGAAAATATTAAAAGTTTTACATGGAGGGCATAAGGGCTTATTTACACTTTCCAGTAAAGGCTATATTCTGCTTTAATTTGTACTAGTTTCTGGCATTTTGGCCAGCTATTAAATACAAGATTGTAGGATGACATTTACAAGTTTTAGTTAGATATACAGATACATACTCGGTGTTTGAAGCGGTTGGGATCACGGTTATCTTTCCGACTCAGGTCAATAAAGAAATGCGTCGCCCTGGCAGTGTCCTCGGGGGTCATATCCCACATGATGCGGAAGGAATCGCAGGTCACCTCACAAATTTGGATGTTGCACGGAGTACACAGACCAACCTCCATTTTGTTATCTATTGGGGCATAAAAGAAGAGAGTTAAAATACAAAAGGAAGTCATTTTGTAGTTTGAGCAGTTACAATAATAGTGTTTTGCAAATCATGATTGAATTCACCTTGGACAGGATCCAATTAACCTTTGCAGCTGGACGTGTGATTGCCCCCTTTCAATTCTATTTTTTATGCACTAACCTGTTCATTCTTCTCAACCTTAGCAACTGACCTTACATAGTTCTGGCCTTTTTAATTTATTGGATAGTTCTCAGGCTTAGTCAGTCAGTCACAGAAGTAGCCAATCGCATTTGAAAATGAGCATTAAAATTAAGAAATTAAAGAGTTTCACCTGATATTATAATTAAGGCATAGGCTGGACTTGCTGAGACCTGCTGGGATTTGAGCACATATGACATCCTGTTGTGAAAATGCCCATTTGTTGCTGAGGTCAGAGCATGGTTGGTTCTAGTAACGTGTCATGTCATATCATGTGGGCAGCTAATGTGTTTCATAATCCACCTACAACAGTCGCCCAGCAACGGTACTCCAGCAAACTTACTTTTATGCCTTCATTTTTCCAAGAAATCACACCAAACATAAAAGAAGTAATGTAAGAAGCCTGTCTTTTGCAGCTCTGAGGTAAAATCTGTTCAGTTATAGGAAATTTACAGGGGGCATTTAGTTCTGAAATACGTGAGACATCAAGATCATGTGATGTACAACCATAGTTCTTAAGCCTCTATTAGCAGTTTGATCCAGGCCAGTGCCCACAGCCTTGAAAGACGAGCTGGAGCCCATCTGTCGGTCAGCAACAGGATGCTTTGATTAACTGTCCTTTACTCTGAATTACACATGAACATAGAAGACAATGATGGGATTCTATTTCACATAGCTATATAATATTTTAAAGTGATGGTTTTCACATGCCTACTAGCCATTAGTTCACTGGTTTGGTCCTGTTTTGACCCCTAAAGCAAAGAAAGCTCGAAGTAGAAGAATTATTAAATTAAAATATAGCCTATAAAGTGTACATTTGTGTCGGGTTGAATGTGATTTTTACTGGCCTACTACACTGCCCTACAAGTCTTATTATTTGTTTCTTGCAGCTACTCTTCCAGTTTTTGATCCTTGATCTAATTTTCACAGCACATGGCATCATCCCTTTTATCAAACGTCTCTTCATGCTGTGCGTATTCTAAATGGTAGATAAAAATAGCCTTCTTGCACTTAGAAAGAAACAAACTATCTTTCCTGTGCACCTCACATCGAGGTCTCACACAGACACACACTACTGGCTAGAAAACGCGCGCTGGGTCACTGCGCTGTCTATTCAGGATGATGGACAGACTACACCAGCTCGTTAAAGCTTGTGAACTGTGAAATTCGGAATGGCGCTAACCCTTCCTTACGCAGATGATGGGACGGTGTCATCGCTTCTCACACGTGTGTTAAGTTTTCCAGCTGCTGCTCTAAATTCATACCGCCTCTCGGAGATGGAAAGTGGGGCAAGAGTCTCTCAGGACAACCATCAAAGCTCCGTATCTCCGCTTGCTCCACTTTAGAATCGAAGACTTGCGAGCACAGTTCAAGCCCAGGTTTCTGTATCACCATTCCTGATGCCCTCGTTTATTAATGAGCCAACGCAGCGGCGCATGTGAGCGACAGATGTGTGTAATCATGCAACTGGGTCTATAACTAATTATTCTGACACGTAAGGCTCATAATTACGTTTATCCCTAATTTCCTCATTTGCCCCGTGCGCATCAGACTGTGCACAATCCCCCAGAACGCACAGCCCTCGCGCACTCACACAGATTGTTATCTCTGTCAGACGATGAAAGGAGCTGCTGCATTTATTCATAGAGTCCCAGTTCAAAGTCATTTACTTCTTCCCAGAGACAGTGCAGTAAGATGCTCCACAACTGGGAGAGAGAGAGAGAAAAAAAAACTGCTACACTTATGTAATGAGCAATCTCGAATAATCAACACTCAGTCCACAAATGTTAAGCAAACCATCTTGTTATATAAATTGTATGCTTGTTTCTTTCCTTAAGGATATGTCCTCTTCTTGCGTTGCAACAGTAATTAGTTAATCTGCCCAGAATCATTGGTTTTACACCAGATGCCCTTCCTGCCGTACCACTATGAAGTCTATTCATATATCACTTACATTTCAGGCGTGGGACTGGCACAAGGATTTACAATGTTAATGTTGGATTGTGTTTCAAAATGACTCCTTAGCAATTTCTAAAAGTATTGATAATGACAAAAATGCATGTCTTAACATCTGTAGAAAAATAATAATAATTATTACTCATTCTTTTCAGTTTCCTTGGAAAATTATACAGGAAGGCTACACTTGTGGTAACTGTGGCTCTCTGGAATCTATACCCTGGCTTGTATGGGGATGATTATATTTTGTCTCATTTTCATCTGAGTATGGGATTCAATTCAGTTACATTTACAAACACTATTACAACAATCACAACCTCACACACACCATACAGATCGGAGCATCATTGAACATCCAGAAGCAAATGTAAAGAAGCACTTACTTTAGGTTAGATGAGGAGAGGAACCAAATGTAGGTCTTTATTTTCCACTTTCAAATTCACAAGAAAACTGATTTTCAAGCTGTACTGAACACTGACTTATCCTCACTTCTGGCTGATGCCCGGTTGCTGCTCTCTCCCTCTATGGCACACACACAAATGCTCCACCATCCCTCCTCCACCCCTCCCAATCCCATTTAGCTTTGGGCTCTGTGGATAATGTTTACTTTGCTCGACGCATCTGCACGGGATGTATTAAACCCTAAAAGAGACAGCGCGCGGCTGGCCAAGGGAAGTGCATGCAGGGTTAGATAGTCACTCAACCTTCTCAGCATCACGCTTTCTCTAGCCAACCATGACACGCATAGGTCTGCCCCAAGGCATCCAATCTAGAAACACACTTTGTAATGTAGCCTGCTGCTTATAAATGAGAAACCACTCATAGTCACAAATGACACTTGTATGTGAATAAACATTTTATTCCACTGACAGGCAGGGATTATGCCGTTAGTGGTGTCCAAGCAAAATCCACACAAACACAAAAATATATATGTGCCAACTGTTATGCCATATGGACTGACTCCACAGGGCATCCCTTAGGGCTTCCACAAGCAAGGGAAGCCACTAGGTCCTTCGTGTAAGCCGATTTTCGTTTGGGATATTTTTTACTGGTTTGATGAGGGGCATCTTCATTTGGGATGTCATACAGATAAAAAAAAAAAATCACTGGCCCCTTGTAGGATTAGTGTAATCTGGGGCAGGGACGAAGGGAATAAAATAGAACTAAATTAAATAAACCCCATGAACTGCATTTATAATAGTGTACAGTGATGACAATGATGTATTGTTGTAATTCGGCTGACAGTGTGTGGTATGAAAAGCATCATTTATTTGAAGCCGGCCACAGATAACTAATACCAGGTAGAGCGGCCTATAAGACTGTATTCATCAATCAAAAGTGTGTGCAATGATAGCCTCTGCTCTCACTTTTATATTGTTTG